ATTCCGCGTCATGTTCACATTTGAAGTACGCAGGCACGCCTACACCGTTCCACGGAAACGGGGTGTAATGCCGCTTTTGTTCCCATTGTTTCTTTTAATTTAACATATTTCTTGAATAAGTGAAATGGTGAAATGAAGTACATCCCAAAAAAGCCCTTTGGCACTGAGATAGAGTATTAAGTTACCTGTTTATCTACTTTTATTTTGTAAACTAGAGCACCGCTCCCCTCGAATGACTTGTTGGGGGCAATGCTGCAACAGAGTTGGAATATTTTTATACCTCCAACATGGTTTCCTCTTATCAAAGAAGTTCTCTGGTTTCCAGGGGTACGCCACTGGTAATAGAGGCTGACAGCGGTATTTACAGTCTTGTTCGCTGCGGATGATGGGGCGTGTCATTGAGACTGGGTTTGACTAGCCGCCAGCCCGTTTTCCAAAAGTTGTTAGAGCGAGTAGGCGACAAAAATTGGTAGAAAACGACTAATACCAGCGATACGATACAGTTTTGTCGCTTGCCAAAAGAGTAAAAGAGAAAAGTAATGGGTCATCACTGCTCCCAACCCACCCCCTTGTCACGCCCTATCCTCTGAAGCGAAACCCTTGAAATGCGGTAGGCGTGGCTACCGCAGGACTGTGTTCAGGAATTATCTGAAATTTCCAAATCAGTACTTTCAAGACGCTTTTCAAGCGACTGGGTATGGTACTGTAACAAAGTTGGGAGATGGGTGAGGGAAGGGTGACAGATAGAACATTATGACATAAGAGTTGGTGAAGAAGGACAGACAGATAGAAGCGACAGACAGACAGTAGATGGACAACAGGCAGGTGTGATACATTTGCGGGCAGTGGTGTTCAAGTAGGTTTAAATGGAAAATGTTTATGTACATCAATTGCCACAGTTGAGGAGGAGATAGATAAGGCTCAGGTCTAATGTTTGCTGAAGCAAGTTTTTTGTCTTATATTTCCAATGTTGTGGATAGCCTTTCGGATGCGGATAGCTCTTAGGATTAAGATTGGATGGATAGGTAGCACTCTGACCGTGTCACTGAAGCAAAGTTTTTTGTGATTCTTGTAATAGTATACTCGAAATCCCTGAGATCGGGTAGGCGTGGCTGCATGCTTCAACCTGAAGGAGTCTATGCTTCTGGTGAGATATTTTCATCTTGACACAATTGTTGTCGTGTCTCTGTCCAACACAGAACAAGATGACAGTTGTCCCAGACTGGAATATTCCACGAGTAACCAGTTCCGTGCCATGTTCAAATGCCACGCCTACTCTGGCTCAGGGATAAGGAGTGTAACAATCTGATTTTCTAAATCACATATTTAAGGTTCTAAAAGAAGTAGCTGCAGCCGGTTGGAAATACTTTCAGTCATGCATCTCCAGGCGCTAAGCAGAGTTTAAACGAAGCCGAACAGGTATGTAGTTAGAATTTTCTGATTGTATGATTGAAAAAAATTTGTTTGCTTAATTCCTTCTAACAACAGGTTCTATCGCGATTTGTACGGGCGACATCAATGCAAGCGAAGCAATTCGATGTGGAATCAGTCACTGATCCAGATCTAAAACGTCAACTTAATTATGTATCCTTTGAAGGAATGTCCGCTCTGTCACCAGCTGATTATGCAGCATTCAATCAGGCCCAAAACACTGTAGGTGAACCTTCTTGAACCTTCCTTAATTACTACTTGCCTGGAAGTCATGAATATCTCCGGAAATTTACAAGTTATAATCTGAGGTCTGACTAACCGCCTGAATTTCCACCCAGTTCTCACGGGTCCGATCACGCACCACACGAACGTCCATTGCTCAAACAAATCTATGAAATGATCCGCCGCTTTACATTAGAACGTGAATGACGATCGGTCGTCGTACGTTTTCATCGAACACAGACCTGTCCTTTGAAGACGCCACAAATCAATTTTAAGAGCATTCGAAGGTGTCATACACAGCGTTAGACGAGTTTGGGCACGATGCTCGCTTTTTAATAAGTCTAGAAAGATCGTCTAGAAAAATTATGACTCGAGAAGCGTAACATTCGCAACTCCGGCTTGTTGCCGACAGGGTACATCATCGTTGAGGATTCCCAAACAGGCAGGGGGATCGTATTTGGCCGCTGGTGGGAGGAGGGTCGTACTTGATCTGAGCAAAATTTCTGGCAGTTGATTTTCTTGTTTCACGCACGCTATAGTGGACGTGGATCATACATATTTGCCTACCGAGAGAAATTTGCGTCGTTGAGAAAAAATTGGTTGTTGAGTTTCTGCGGTTTTTCTGTTTCACTGTGCCATCTCGTTGGCGGTGAGCGAGGGCGGGGAACTCGGGGGCGGGGCGGGAGGTTGCTGGTGGCGGTATAGCCACCCTTCAGGGAGGAAGCGGTTTTGCGGTCATGAGCTCGACCAAAATTCCCAACTAATGATGTACCCTGCTTGCCGTACCGTTTCGCTGTTCCCAGTGGATCCACGCTTCTCACGCAGCAACCTCAAAACAAAGGCTAGCCGGAAAATGAGGTGTTTCTACCACACTATGTCATACGCAGTGGGAAGGAATTTGAGTGCTACACAAATCGCACGATTTTTTTGCAATGTGCACGAGTTTTCTGGGAGAAGGTTTATTGGTACTTCACTTTATCTTTTGAATGGCACCAATTTCATGGAAAATCATGTCGCGAGCTCAACTTGGAATGCAGTAGGCGGGAATTCGGGTGTCGCACGAATTGCACAACCTTTTTTTGCCATGCTCTCGAGTTTTCCACACAAAGTGTGCCTGCCCCTTAGAACCTTGTTCTACCAAAAGTGATCAGTTAGTAATTGATTTTGTAAGAAAACAACTAGTACCACAAAACGCGGTGGGTGGGCTCGGTCTATTCCTCTAACCGCTTCGACTTTGTACGATATCATATGTATGCCGGCAAATTTAAATACTTGATCTGAAGTAACAGCCTTTATGTGTAATCCGTAATGTCTGTCGTAATCATTGCCAGAGTTGAGTTCAGCTCAATTGTATTTGAATTCATTCATCAATACCTAC